AGGGCACGCACAGAGGTTTGGGGAGGCACGAAAAATAGGCCTACCGGAAGTTCGGGATGGGGTGGATTGTTGCCGGCATTACTGCTGGTTCGGTACGTGCAAAAATTTTGTTCCCAGCTGTTCCCTTGCCTCACTGCTGTCTAGCACCTGATCACTGCCAGACAGCCTTGGCCCCCTCTCTGCCTCCGATGCAAAGCCCTCATCCGAGCCTTCCCCAGCCTCCAGGACTGGCCCTTGCTCCCCCCCAAACTCTTCACTGTCTGATTCTGCTGCCAGCTCTGCTGGCTGCTGGTGGGCCACGCCCATTACCTAGCTAGGGTCATGAAACATCTGCAAGAAAACAACCAAGCTCAGAGAGCATCAAAGGCCCCTCGTTTCAACCCTGAGCTACAAATATTCTCCTTTATGGATGATAAGTGTGAAAAACGGCCATAAGTCACTTTTTTTCAGTGCCATTGTAACTTTCAAAGATGACTAAGTGATGTATTTTAAGTCAAGGATTACCTGTATCTCTTTGCTCTAAAATCAGGAACTGCTTCTCATCCTTAGCGAAATTCTAGATTGCAATTTTAAAGTTCAAGCGATTTCTCCTGTTGCCTTTCAATGGCTTACTGCAAACCCCGTGACTTAAAGGGCAACCAAGGCCTGATGTTTAGCTTCCTTTTTAATCATGTCACACCGAACTCAGCTGCATCAGAAATGAATCTTCTGCCACTGGCAGTCCAGAATGACGCCTTCCCCATAAAAACAATTCTTGCTCGTCTCCCCAAATAGGAATAAAGTCAGAGCTGTAAATCTCAAGTGCAATTTGTTGGCTTCAGTGAAGGATTGGAAGCAAAGCTCGTAGCCTTTATGCAAGCTTCGTTGGAACCAGCTGCTCTCAACTCTCTTTCTCCTCAATGTCCATTCGTGTTTTGCAAGCTTTAACGCTGCAATTATATGTAGGCAGTCCAGACAACGCTGGGTTTATTACAATTATTTCACACAAATAATTGTGTTACCAAGCAGCATCAGATACGTGTCAACCCTGAAGCCGACCTGACCATGGCCATTTTGGAAATTTTTAGGGTTGTTGCACTGGAGCTGAGGGATAGGGAGGGAGGGGGGGATTAGAGATAGCTGGGATTTTGTAGCCAAAACAAAATACTTCCTCTTGGGAACCAAGGACATTTTCACACCTGGTCAGAGGGGGGCGGAGCGATGCCACCAGGCAACAAGACAGCACCGTGATTGGACCATGTGACTGATTGTTTTGGGGAAGTGACAAACTTTTAGTTTTCATTAGGTGAAGCCCACAGGGACCTTCAGAGTCGGTTTTCACCGGATCTGTGCCACTACATTTCCAGTAAAGCTATTCTTCGAGGAATCTACCTGCCTCGGAGTTTTGCTTAATATATGGATCTATTACTTGGAACCCTGGCATTCTGAAAAGAAACGGGGTGTGTAAAGATCGCATGGAAGCCTCTCAGGCTGGAGTCGAATCCACGAAAGGTCACAAATGTTATTTTTCTTTATGTACACTGAGAGCATATGCACAAAAGACAAATTCCTTGTCTGTCCAATCACACTTGGCCAATAAAGAATTCTATTCTGTTCTGTTCTGTTCTATTCTAAATAATCCTCAGCTTATGACCACAATGGTGCGGTGGCCTGCCAGTAGCCAGCAGAACTGGCAGCAGAACCGGACAGTGAGGAGGTTGGGGAGGAACCTGGGCCAATCCTGGAGTCTGGGGAAGGCTCTGATGAGGGCTCTGTGTCAGAGGCAGAGAGGGGGCCAGAGCCGTATGCCA